AAGGAAAGGAGAAGGAGGAAATATTTCGTGACTCGGGCAAAATAATGATGAGGGAAGGGCGCGGCTACCAGTCTACGTACACGGAGTGACCGGAGGGTGGGGGTGGTATCTGGGACGGAGGGTGGGGGTGGTATCTGAGACGGAGGGTGGGGGTGGTATCTGAGACGAGGGGGTTTCACAGATCACTTTGCGATCGTGGTTGACTTTTACGGATCGATTCGCACCTATCTTTCGCTCAAGCTCGTCCTCCCGCGTTGAACATACAGAGAGTGACGGCGGGGGGGGTGGGGGTTCATTACATCTTCGACGAGGGTTTCACTTTGCGACGATTTACGCGTATAGTTCGCTCACGCTCGTCGCTGCGTTGCTCTCTGCAGACCACGCTAACGGGTTGCGGCTGGCGCAGGCCGTGGACGGCAAAACTCTCATCACGTTCAACTCGAAGAACGAGCAGGATCGTGCCAAGTTCACCGAGGATCTACGCGAGTCTATCCTAGAGGTACTGCTATCCATCGATCGGTCGATGCATCTATTGATTTATAGATTTATTGATTAATTGATGATTGACTGCGTGAGGACTTATAACTTAGAGTGGATTTCTCTCTGGCTCGCTTTTTCCTTCTCTCTCTCTCACTCTCTCTCTCTCTCTTGTCTCTCTCTGTTTCCGCTCTTTGTTTCTCTCTCTCTCTCTCTCTCTCTGTCTCTGTCTCTGTCTCTGTTCTCGCTCTATCTCGCTCTCTCTTCTCTCTCTCTCTCTCTCTCTTTCTCTCTCTCTCGCCTCTCTCTCTTCTTCTTTTCTCTGTCTGTTCTCTCTCTTGTCCCTCTCTTTCTCTTTCTTTTGCCCTTCTATGCGAGTCCTTTCTGGAGGTACTACTGGTCGCTGTGTGGCATGACGCATTGATCAATTTATTGATTTTTATTTGTTATGCGTGATTTGACTGCGTGCAGGGGTTATGTATAATTGAGAGTGGATTCTACCTCACTTGCTTATCGTTCTCTTTCTCTCTGTCTCTCTGTCTCTCTCTCTCTCTCTTCTCTCTCTCTTCTCTTCTCTCTCTCTCTCTCTCTCTCTTTCTATATCTCTCTCTCTCTCTGTCCTCTATCTAGATGAATGAGGACGGGAGTCTGCGTATGAGGACGAGCCTACAGAAGCACAAGATGGCCGTCATCACGCGCAAGGAGCACGCATTCCAGCCGCGACTCCGGCGTCGTTGCCGACGAGGCGACGCCACGGCAACGACGACGAAAGCCAGACGGCGGAGCGGCCTGGCGGGGCGCGAGAAGCCCGGCTCCGGAGGCAGGCCGGCGGGTGCGCAGCGGGGGCGCGGGAACCGACGCCGCGCAGCAGCAGCAGGAGAAGAGGTTGACGATCGCGAGTTCGCTTTCCAACTCCCTGCTGGAGCTCGCAGAGCAGAGCGCCGCAGGTACGCACGCGGTCGCCACGGCAACGGCGTCTGCTATTGGCTCATCTTGTGGGGATCTTTTGCAACATTGTATTGCGAGTTGTTTTTAATAGTCGATGCTGAGTATATCTTGTTCATTTAATTGAATGTTATAAGTTTACATTTTGATTGTTGGAAAATTGCTAAAATTATATGTTACAACCTGTAGGTATGTAAGTCACATAGTTGAGGTTTAAATCTTGTAAGATTGTGAGTGATTAAGAGTAGTAGTAGCACTGGTCTAATAACTGTAAACTAACAGGAAATAACTGGCCAGTAGTAAAGTAACAGTAATAACTGAAGAACAGAGAACTGAACTACAATAAGTGAGTAACGTGCTAATAAAGTTCATCTCGGCTAGATCCAAATTAAGTTCGATAAACTTGATTAGCATTTGAACTATAGAGAACCAATGGAATTATTCAATCAATAAGTGAGTAATGGTTCGTTGTGTGTTTGTTGCAGCTGGCTCTAACAAGGTGAAGCGGACGGGCAGTGCCGGCTCGCTGGACAGCGGAATGGTAAGTGCAGTGGTAAGCTCTCAGTCTTCTACTCTCTCTCTGCTATACGCGTGACACGTGCGTGACAGTGCACTCGTGGCCTGTCCAGAGATGCCAACCACTACGATTTATCCGTATTCGATACGAATTTCTATTCCTTTTGCACCACTACGACCAGTTTGTATCAAACTACGAATTTCACTGTGATCGAAAAAAATAATCTTTTTGTCAATTATTGTCATTTTTTGTCAATTTATTGTCATTTTTTACCCTCAGAATGCAGGAAATTGCATCTCAGAATCAAAATTTGTTCCGGGGGGCATGCCAGACCCCCCTAGCAAACTCGGGTCATTACGTGACCCTCGAACTACTAATTTGATGGCCAGAAACTACAGATTGTTTCAAATATGTGTTGGCATCTCTGCCTAATAATAGTATATAGATAGATATACATATATATGTATATATTATCACGAATTCCAACAGTAAAGGCCGGCGCACACCAGCCGATTTATCACACGATTTGATAGGCCCGATAAAAATCAGCCGATATCGGGTAGGTGTGCGCGTTCATTTGTAGACGATTTTACTTACGATTATTTTTATCGAGTGATCGTTCCAAATCAAACATGTTTGATTTTGAACCGATTATTTTGAAGCGATTTTTTGAACAGCCAATAGCTGAACGTACCCGTGTCACATGACATTCAAAATGGCGCCTACCATCAACATAATAACCTATTTTATCGTAGGTGTGCGGGTGTTTATCGGAAGGCGTCGCGCTGAGCCGATTTTACAAACGATGAAGAGATTTTTTTAATCGGATCGATTTTCTGGTAGGTGGTTGCGCCGGCGGCTTTAAATTAAAGTGAAAACCATGTTGTGCAAAAGTACGATTTAATGTCAAAACGAAGTAAGCTACTCGGTTTGTAAATATAACCGGAAGATAGAATAAGGACGCAGTGAACAGAAAGAAACTCATGTTTTTATACGATTTTCCCTTTTTATTGGCTCAAATCTGACATAGTTCTAAGTCAGATCAGCTTGTAGAATCGCAGATTGTCCGTCCGTCCCCGTACCGCCGTTGACCCGTCCGTCCGTCAACGGAGTTGGCACAAATCTAACCGCTCGACGTTACGGTGCACGATATTTTGGCACATTCGGGGGATCGTAAAAAAAACGAGTTGGGATGTCGAAGCTGGGGGTACAAAGTCAAAGGTCAAGAGGTGTAAAAGAAGGGGGGAAACATTCACAAGGAGGAAATGCAGAATTGCGGCAGCAACTAAACGGACTCGACTAGGTTTCGTGATATGTCGTGTAATAGCATTCATGGTAGGAAAACCGATCAACCTGTGCCCGAAATTGAGGTCACAGAGGTCAAGAAGGTCAATGGGCACAAGGGCAGATTTTAGACATTTTCCTGAGAATGGTCTGGACGAGCGATTGAAAAACTTTTTTTGTTTGGCAGCGGTGAGCTTAGCATTTCTTATAGGCTTTATTGAAAGGAACCAATGAAATGTCCCGTCTGCTGACCATGCCGAGAGAGTAAGTGTCGGACTAACCTTTTGACGGCTGCAAGAGAGTTAAACATTGATTCTGTTTACTGTCTGTTAGAAATAAAATTTTGACTGACGGTTTGCTATAGCTAGTAGAAATCCTATACATGCCTGGATGTATGAGGCTACAAATGTGCACACGTGAAATTTCAAAAAGCTAAATTTTGCGTTTGAAAGAAGGTTTAATTGTCCTTAAATCGTATAATTTCTGATGGCATTTCTCTTGTACTGTCAGTAATGTTTACATGTAACGTATGCCACTGCCGAAGTGCATGTGGTGGTTGGTACTTTGTAGGTTTTTTTGCCCTAGCGTTAATTGTTACAGGTGGCAGCTTCTATTGCAGCCTGTAGCTTGCGTAGGTAATAGTGGATGAGTGCTTACCTATTCTGTCTTGGCAAATAGTTTGTTGCACTACGTACGATGGAGCTTTCAATGCTGTAATCTGGAAGACACTTAAACGTACGCGCGCATCTCATCGGGCAACTTTCCATAACGATCGCCAACGAAACATTTTCTTTGAGAAGGTTGCCTGATACCATGCCCTGTGCATTCCACTGTTTTGGCATGTAATGTGAACACATTTGGGGACTAACAGGGTTTTACTAAGAATCCGCACACTTACCACCACAGTCACCGCAGTAGACGTTAGATGAGCGCTGTCGCTCCGCGGCACTTGTTCACATCAAACTCGTACGACAAAATGTAGTGAAATGCAAGTACCGGGATATACGTGTCAAACTCCTTTGTAATTATTAACCCCTGATATTATACATATATATATAATGTAAAATTATATACATGTGTGTCCGCATATTTCATTAACAAAACGACAGCAAGAGGTTAATTAATTACTTAATATATTATTAAAAAGTTACGCATATTCTGACTTCTAAAAAATACCTACGTTACGCGCTCAATGGGCCAGAGGGAGCCACTATCGTCAATAACTTGCGCGACGCCGCGGCAGCGTCCCGGCCACAGTAAAGAACGTTCGCGTTGTCGTTCGTGTGCAGTCGTGCGACGGAGGCCATGCGCTGCTGACTCAGGCGGCGCAGGCGGCAGCGCAGGCGCCGGGCCAAGGTGGCGCCACCGAAGTGCTCCGAGTCAGAGCTTCCGGTCTCGCGGTCTGTTCGCAAGAAGAGCCCGCAAGCTCCAGCTTGAAGGCTTTACGTCATGAAGCCGCTGTCCGTCACCGACAGCACGAGGTATAGCGGCGGCCCGCAGCGAACCCGGGCGGCATCGCAGCGACGTGCGGCCCGCAGCGAACTGTGGCGAACCTGCGGCGGCCCACGGAAGGCTTGAGTGAGAACCCGCAGCGAACCCACGGGGAGCGTAGCGCGACCCGCGGCGGCGCCGGCAGCGACGCACAGCAGGGAAGCCTTGTGACAACCCGCAGCGACCCACGGGAGCTTGTGAAACCCGCAGGCGACCGCACGGGAGCTAGCGGCGACATCCGCGGCCGGCCCCCACGACCCACATCGGGAGCTTGGTGACCAACCCGCGCAGTGGACACCACGGAGCTTGTTGAGCAACCGCAGCGACCCACGGGAGCTTTGTGACAACGCAACGCAGCGACCCACGGAGGCTAGCGCGGCCTGCAGCGACCCACGGGAAGCTTGTGACACACGACCATGCGGCGACCCAGGGTAAGCCGCGCGGAAGCTAGCGCACGACCCCCGGCGAAGGCCAGCGTGCGGGGGCGCGACGGCCCCCAGGGCGGCCACGAGACCTTGGAAAGAACAGGAAGATGGATGGTAGCTTGCGCTAGCTTGGCCCAGATCACATCCTGCGCTATCAGTGAAGAAACAAGTCAGTGATGAACACGTCACCAGCCTTTAGTGAACAATTCAATGGTCGTTTGGACCACCGTACTGGAGACTTGTGCGTACGTCGATTTTGTCGGACGGCGAAAATCTTCGTGCTTTTTTTTTCTCGCGCCCCGGTGAGCGATCGTGATTCCGTCGATGGAGGTGGGGGGGCACGAGCGAGAAACAAGTGCGCGTTCGTTCGAGTTTTTGTGCCGTGCGGTTGCCGAGAGCGTTGCATTTCTTACGTTGTTTTTTTTTGCTACCGGCGAAAAATGAAATCGAAGTGTGAATCTATTGCCTTTTTCTCTGCGGGAAAGGGATGTTTTTTCATAAGGGAGTAATCGAAGGGATCCCGCATCCTGCTTTTCCTGCCGAGTCGTTCTTCCCGTTTACTTGTTTTGCCGCAGCGAGAGCGGGGGCGTGCCTACGGACTTACGACGCTTTCGCTCGTTTCGAAGACGCGCGATTGACTTTACCGTCGAGGTTACCCGGAGAACTTTCCCGTGCGTGCGCCGACGATCGACTTCAAGCGTTCGCATACGGCGCTACTGAGAGAGAGCGTACCCGTTTCGCCGTCGGTTGCGGGGGTGGGACGGCCGAAGCGGTTCGAGCAGACGATTGGCGAGCAATCGCAAAGCGCTAGTTTCACGGCGTAAATTTGGTCGTCCGCTCTCGGAAATCCCCGCCGCCTCGGAGATTGCGGAACGAGAAACGACTTTGCACCGATCCGCACGGTTCTGCCGGTAGAGTTTCGTTCCGTCGTGGCTTCTTGCGAAAGTGATGCGAATGCGATCGGGACGTCGGTGGGATGTCGCCGGACACCCCCCGCGCGTGATGCAACAATGGCTGTGCTGCTGCTGATGTGTGTGTGATAATACTGTGTACATTTCTGGTCAGTCGATTCTCCGCCCGGCGGCAGCGGTGGCGCCACGTGGTGGCGCAATCGCAGAGTCTCTTTCGTTGCCGGCGCGAGAAGGTGATATTTATCATTTAATTGAAGGAACGGGATCTGGGATTTACGGTTGCAGCAAGCGCGTGCGAGTTCCAACTTCCAGCAAGGCATATATGCGATCAAAAACATTGTTCCGCGTGTGGGCCCGCAAAGCGCTGCCAAATATAGCAAGGATCTGCTATGTTGAGTGACCATTAAATCGGCGGCTGTCATCACAAACACTGTCAATCATCGGTGGTGGGCGTGGTTCTGGGCGTGACTAAGAGCACCTAAATTCCAGATCCTGTCCCTTAAACATTGACGATCGGCTGGCCGGTTTATCAACCAGGCCAACTCGTCGGTAGAAAGCAGGACGACGACAATGATGGTAGTGTGGCAAAGATACGATTAAGTTGTCGAGTTTGTTATAAGGTTGCTAGCGACAGTTGACACGGAGGTCACCCGTTTCAATCAGGTCAGTCAACGGTGGTTTATGCATCGGCGGATCCGGAAGTGGGGAGCGGGAAACGGGAAGGAAGGGAAGAGTCACCTGTGAGGAGGGGAGAGGGGGAGGGGGGTGTTAGGGGGAGAGCTCTAAGCTTCCCGATCAGCCGCGTCCAGCCACCAGCATGTAAGGGCTTCGCGCTGCGATTCTGTGACGAGCACTCGATTCGGGAAACGATGACGAAAACGAAGAGTTAGAATAGAGTTAGAATGCCCGCGAATGACCGGTTTTTTACTCGTTTCCTGATATTGATTCTTGTGCGGTTGCGTCGGCGGTGGCATCACCCCCGCCCACCGGCGCCTTCCCTGGATCCGTCAGTGTATTAGAGGTGCGGCCATGTTTGTTTTTCGAAGTGCGGTATGTAGGTAAGTAGGTAGGTAGGTAGGTAGGCGTAAGGAGGGAGGGCATTGTAGTTTACACGTGAAGTTAGAGTGTAGCAACGAGACGTGCGATCGCACTTGTAAAAAAAGATTTTTCGCGACAGCGTTGACTGAAATTTGTTTGTGTAAATATGACGTCATCTTACATGTGCGTGCGTGCGTGCGTGCGTGCGTCTGTGTGTGTCTGTACATGTGTTTGTGCGCGTGCGTGCTGTAATAATGTTTCTCTTGTTCTCTCGCTCTCTCGCGTAATCGCAAACGACAATACGGTGCACCCTGAATACGGTGACACTCGGTGGAAGCCTAGGCAACCGTGACGCGGGACGTGGCGAGGTGGCAGAGCCCTCTGGTGGAGCATTCGGGTGATGTCGGAGCAAAGCGGATGAGAGTAGAATCGTCTAGCTTCGCGAACCGAAGTCGCTACTTCAATCTCATTGTCTGCTGTTACTGCTGCTACTGCTGCTGCTGCTGCTGCTGCTGCTGCTACTGCTGCTGCTGCTGTTGCTGCTACTGCTGCTGCTGCTACTGCTGCTGCTGCTACTGCTGCTGCTGCTACTGCTGCGACCTCATGCTGAGTCTAAAGATGC